ATCGAGAACCATTACACTTTTATATTTACTAGTTTTCGCTTTAACGAAGAAACATATGAACATTCGTCTCAAGTTAGCGACACAGAACGCCCTCTTTTATTTTATAGAGAGACTTTATGTCGTTTCAATGCAATGACGATTTTGTGTATGTAGATGAAAGTGTGTGTAGCTTATCTCAACCTGTTTTGTTGCTGCATTATGTTGTTCGTTTGCAGATTTAAAGCCAATTAAAACTTCGCCCTTGTTTCAGCTTATTGCCATTCGGTGACTGGTGTGAGTATCGTCTTTTTTACGTTGAGTTTGAATGTTTAGATAATCATGTTTATAATAAATGAACTGTTAGATTCGATGTTCAAAGTCTAGGCATCTTTTTGTTTCCATTTTAATTTAGAATTTTTCCGTCATTTTTTTCCTGACTTTTATAATTATATTGTTGTTTCTATTTGTATTTATTGCTTTTCTGATTGTTCTTCAAATAAATTGAATCCTTTTATTTCTTCTTCTGCTATTTGTATTGTTAAATGATGCGGTTCATTAGACGTTGGAAATAATAATTGTTCTTGTTTATTAAATTTCAGTAGTAATATTTGTATTTGTTCACCTTCACTAAAATTTAATAAATCATCATGAAACTGATTTTAATATTTGTTGATGTAGTTGTCGTAGTTTCAAAGATATCACAATTGTTTCCTTTCCATGGGTGCATATGAAAACATAATGCAGCAACGGCACGACTATCATTTGTTGCACATTCTTTCATTTCTAAACATTTCTGTTGTTCTGATTCTTGATCAAATTGATGACAACTCAATAATTTATTTTGTCATGTATTTGGCTATTCATTCAAGACCATATGGTCATGAATAAATTGCTTTTGATTTGTTCAATGATTCTTATAGTGCTGATGCACGTGCCTCGCGAAGAAATCATTTAGAATTTGGATCATCCTGATTATGATGACCACAGCACAATGAATGCCGTTATTTTTTTCTCTATTTGTAGCATTATTTTAACCAGGAATAGAATTTGTATGAGTGCTCCTGTTTCTTCTTATTTATTTATTTTCTTCTAATTCGGTATTCTTTGTACATCGTTTGGTTTCTCTCATCTTCATAATCAGTTCATTCAGAGTAGTATAACTGTTGATCGATAATGGAGAGTAATAATTACGATGTTTGATGATAAATGAAATGGTGGATATTTTGTTTTTCATTTTTCATTTTTTTCGATTTTTCTGGTCCTACGTCGCCAATTTTGTTGTTACTTGGCATTTAATTTATAATAATATGCTGGTGGCTTAGGTAAGTTTCGCTTTTAATGAGACAATGATATATTACTAAAATAGAAATGGTACAAGTTATCATCACATAAAATAGTGAAATGAATTTTCCTTTCGCATTGAATTTCTTTTTCTTTTGTACTTGCACGGCTCGTTTAGTATTCATCTATGAACATTTTTCTTTTCTTTCATGTGGCAGATACTTATATATCATGTTCTTGTTTTAATCATAGTAAAGTTGTTGACCTGAATCACGTGTGTCACTCTCAATTATTGTACACTATGGTTGGATGATTCGTCTGTTCGCATCAACAAATAAAAATGTTCGAGTTCAACAGGCTCTCTCTTCCAGTGAGAAGGTGAGATATGTCTCAGCGCCATGGACTGCAGAAGAAAGATAAATAGTAAATTTTGTAAAAAATAAAGAGGGCTTAAAATTGAACCCTTTTAAAGTATAATATTGAGGACTGGATTTGATTTTTTGGTTATATTTTTTTCGAGTTTCTTTTGTTGAATTTTCTAAAGATTTTAGCGAACTATATTTTGAAAAAATGTTCAAATCAAAGGTTCAAAAACTGTGAAAAATATTCAAACACATTGAGGGAGTCGTTCTGAATGAGCTAATCGCTATTTTTTGTAATAAAGTATATGGAATGATAAGAAACGCAATAACTTGATGCATAGTTTATTTGAAGCGAGTATGGACTGTTTCAGATCAGCTCTTTATATTGAAAAAACAGTTAATTTTTAACTGCAATTTATGTTTTGAAGAACTCTTATTAGAAATAATTTCTATGTTGAAAAATATATTATATCGAAGAAAAAATAATTCATGAGGTTTTGAAAATAGAAATACGTTATTATCTTTTACCTATTTATTAAACACTATAAATTGAAAGAAAGCTGAACATTTCTTCTTTTTATGTGTAGACTTATCGTTTGCTTTGTGATCAGTTTTTCTTGTGCTGATATTTACTGTTTCATGCTGCTTATGTCTTTCACAGTGGAATATAAATGTGTCTAAATGTTTTGAGTAGGTCCAAGTAAATATTATTTCAGAAGTTTGCTGAAGGCTATAGTTAACGAATCGAAACTAAATTTACAGATTTTGTAAAACTTGATGTGTAGATAATTTTATCTAGGTAAACTTATTCGTCAATTCTGATAAGAGCTAACTCCAAATTCATAAAAACGAGGAGAAAGCTCATAACTGGTGTAGTTTTTGTTATAAAGTATTCTCTAGTGACTGTAAGAACTTATTTTTCTTCTGGTTCTGCTCTATTCCTATTAATGGACGTCGTTCACAAATATGTCCTCTCTAGTTGACAATGATAAAGACATTTATTTAATATTATTCAAAATAAAACTCTTTGTTTGAAAAACTATTATTAATAATTATTTTTTGAATATTGGAACAAATCGAATCAAGTCGATTATCAAAATGCAAAGATTTTTTCAAGAAAAAGATTTATTTATCTCATATAATATTGTACATCTTCGTGCATTCAAAATGTAAATTTTAATTAAAACCAAGAAAAAATTCAATTATAAAAGAGAAAAGAAAGCAATTTTCTTAGTGGAATGCTTCATTTGATTATCATTGATTCAGTAGATGTTCAATGATAAAATGATGCTTTCCTTAACCTTAGCATGTGGTTGTTCTTTTATATCTTGTGCCATATGAATATTCGTTTTCATGTGATAATTATTTATTGTTCTTTAATCAAAATCAGATATGATCCTCTTAGTGATCTAGAAAATCATTTTGTTATCAATGAGTGTGTGGTTATCTGAACCTTGAACAGTCCTCTTACGTTACACACGTTTACTATGGAATTTTTGCTCAAGTTTCGTGCATATATACGGAATGAAGTTAGTAGAAAAGTCATTTACTGTTTGGATATTATTGATCTGCTCGAGAGGTCCAAGTTTTCCGTAATAATGACTAATGTTCGTTTCAAAGTTAAATGAACATGAACATTTCTCGAATAACTTTCGATTGGCTTAGGCTATCGAGCTTTGGATTTCACTATTCTCAAGAGCACACATCGAGGCGTCTATCTATATAAAACCCACTAGAAGCAAAGACATTTTACAAACCTGTTTGTGCATCGATATGTTTTTTATTTCATATTTTTGTCAAGTTTCACGATAATCTAGCTTCAAAATATACAAAATTGTAACCCCAAGTAGTCCTATGTACATAGTATTACTTTAATATCTCTGTAGTGTTTTATCGATCTGTTTCATCAACAAATTTATAAAAATATGAAACAAACATTTTGTCGGCTGAGTCATCTGTAGGATTGTTGAATTACGTTGAAACATGTATATTCTTCATTAAAGCAAATTGCCATCAATCATACATTGCACTGCAATAAAGCACTTAAGCTATCTTTGTAATTTGCATTCATATGAGACTAAAGAAGTTATACAGGAAAAGAATAATAAAGAGGGAGAGGGCACGGCTTCTGCCCAGAGTTGTAAGTAGTACACGAAAGAAGAGAACGATGTATGATTGTAGACGTGTTGTGGATGCTTTTTCCTTTAATTTATTTTCCAACAATTAATGACATCTATACACGGTTTCCCCTACAGAAGATTGTCATTGTATGAAAATTAGAAGATTCATGTTAAAAAGAGATAATCATTTGCCTTAGTATGAAAGGGAAAACATCAATGAAATTTAAAAAGAAATCTTCAAAAAGGTTTTTAGGATTATCTAAAAATAATGGTGAAGGTACCTTTTTTCTTATAGAAAGCTTGAAAAATGTTTTTCTTTTTATGAACAAATAGGGTGTCTTTCGCTCTATTTTTCTATGCTATTTTATCACTATTCAACTAATATCATAACAGTAAAATTTCGACAAGAACTGTTTTTGTCGAAAACTAACTGGTAGCATTTGGATCATAATGGGTGTGGCACTTTTGCATTCCACTTTATCATCACGTAATACGTTTTATTAAAAAAAAACAAAATACACTATAAAATGCAGCATGAAAAGCTCTACAATTTACAAGCAACAATTATAAAAAGATTAGATAGGAAAAAACCGAATTCGTCTTTTACAAAAAAAAACAATCTCGTTTTCGCAACGTCGAAATTTAGTAGCTCAGAGTTTTGTCCGTTTTGAAAACAAAAAGTGCAACTATAAAATAAGCGACCCTTTATAAATTGTAGAGCTTTTCACGCTGTATCTTGTGGTGTATTTTGTTTTTTTAATACAACGTATTATGTGATGATAAAGTGGAATGCAAAAGTGCCACACCCATTATGATCCAAATGCTACCAGCTAGTTTTCGACAAAAACAGTTCTTGTCGAAATTTTATTGTTATGATATTAGTTGAATAGTGATAAAATAGCATAGAGAAATAGAGCGAAAGATGCTCTGTCTGTTCATAAAAAGGAAAAAGTTTTTCAAGCTTTCTATAAGAAAAAAAGATACCTCCGCCATTACTTTTGGATAATCCTAAGTACTTTTGATTAGTATTCAATGAAGATTTAACAAATAATTCTTATGATTTACATCTTTCACTTACGAATGTGATTCTATAAAGAAACCTTGTGCAACAAATTTTTGTGTTCTACTGCTATGTATTGACATTGACTCATTTTGTTATCATATATGTTCATGCATTTACATCATATATTTATGTTTTTTCACTTTTTTTAAAATTCTCAATCATAGATACATTTCTTATCATTAGCATATTCAATACATGGAACAGGGAGCGACAAGCGGTCGATCAACATGCTCTATATATAACAAAGAAAGAGTCGTATATAAATGTGGAGGATGCTCACAAGATTGTTGTTTCGATCATTTAGCGAAACATCGTCAAACACTTAGTAAGCAATTGAATGAAATTGAAAATGGTCGCGACCAGTTTCACCAAACACTTGTTGAACAAAAGAAAATTCCAAGAATACTTCCATTAATACAGGAAGTTGATAAATGGGAGGAAGACTCCATTAAGAAAATTAAACAAACAGCAGAGGAGTGTAGACAAATATTAATTGAACATCAGAATAAACATTTTATCGAAATAGAAAAGGAATTATCTCAATTAACTGAACAGCTAAAAAAAATTCGTCAAGAAAATGAATTTAATGAAATTGACTTAGACAGAATTAAAACAAAATTAACAAAACTAAAAGAAAAACTTAGTCAACTACCAAATATTAAGCTTCAACAAAATTCTGCTTTACTTATTAAAAAACTTTCCACTGTTGTGTCATCTGAAACCCATGAAGAACATAAATTTAATAAAAATGATCTAAATCAAATTCAAACAAAATGTGAAAAAGAACTTGATCAGCTGCCAAACATTTCAAATTCGAATGATTCTACATCCGTTGTAGATAAGAGTTCAATCAATGTATCATCTGGTAAGTATGATAATGATATCGGAGTCGATGGAAGAGTGCATTTGTAACAGACCATGAAGTTCTTACAAAATATTTGACTAAAACTCAGTGCGGAAAAATATTGAGTTTTTGTTTATTAGTATTCAAAGATTATAGTATTACTTGTATTTTATCAAATAGAAAACATATCAATATCGTAATAGCTTTATCAAAATTATTCTCTGAGAGTTTTTTGTTGAGAAGTAGGTTTTATTCAATACATAATTTTAATCTGCATATATCATAACGATTCCGAAACCTACACATATAACAAAATAACTAGGTACAAACCGTAAGCATAGAGAATTGAAGACACTCTCAGTGCTCAACGAATCCAAGAAATCACAAGAACTTTCAGAACTTGAGAAAGCTGGAAATTCAAGAAACTCAAAAAACACATATCACTGAAAGTGCCTTAGGAACACAATGAACTAAAAGTACTTGTAGAAGTCAACAATAGACATTACTGACTTCTGTAGCAAAAAAAATGAAATTGGTCGACATACTAATGTATTCTGACATTAATCATTTTATAAACATATAAATATCAACCATCTGGATTACTTGATTTTGAGTGAGATGTTTCGAGTGTTCTGCACATGGAAACAATAAAGTCTAGAAAAGAAAATTTATATTTAGCTGCCCACCTGTCTATAATATGACATTAATGATCATTGAATAACTATCAAGCTTCTAGATCAACTGACTGTTCATAACTCGACTCGTTCGAAATGAAACTCTATGATCACTTGAGTAATCTATTAAGGGATCGTACTAAGTTAATTATCACGATAGTCACAAGTTTATGAAGGTTAGGCAGCTCGATTGCTTCTACAAAATAACATAAGAGGTCAGAATATTTCCTTATTGAACTGAGCAAACAAGATGTTTTCTCCAATGCCCTACTTTCATGAACATTATCATGCATTAACAAGAGCTTTGCAAAGTGAACTATTCGCTGACCATTTTCACACCGTCTGAGAGACTAGCGTTCGCAGTTTGTGCTGTAAAATTTATATGAGGAATGATGATTTGCTATTTGTTTATTATCTTCTCTCTACTTATTCAGTCTCTTTACTTTTTCTTCTTTCAGGCCTTTCGGTTTCGATTGAATGTGTCCGTAACAGGGTATGAACGTGTGACTATGGTTGAAGAGAACATCTATCTCCACACCAGCACCTTATTTGACACTACACTACTCTTGTGCGTTTAGAATGAGCATCATTGAACTGACGAAAGGGCTATTTTAGTTATTGCCTCAATGATACTCATAAAACACTGGTACAGCAAAGTTTATTATTTGTTATGGTTGGCAAGGCGCATAAATCTCCTGTAAGAAAAGGAGTAAAACTTGGATAAGTTATTACGATAGAAATTTAGCTCTCCGTTCCGTGAGAAAATTTTGTTTGAGTCGAGTGGAGGGATATAGATGTGTGCTGTGGATTGTGTCAAAAGAAGATCACACTCTTCTTCAACTATTTCTAATCAAAGTTTCATTATTGTAAAGTATTTTCACGCAGGGGGAGTAGTAGATTTTTGAACTCCTGAGAGTAATTTGAGAATCCCTAGAATATGGCGGAAATTCCATCATTGAGTCATGTATATGTATAAAACACATTTGAAATATGAATTTTTCTTATCTGTAAAGACACCAGCTCATTCGTTTAAAGCGTTGAAATTCATTCCGTTAAGCGAACACTAGAAAACGGATGAAAATCATTTATGTATTATTAAATGAATGTTAGAACACTGTCAAAATAGGCCTACCAAATGTCAAACATCACGCAACTTTATTGTAGGCTTGAAAAAATACACAAGCTTCCAATCATCATAGCAACGATTAAAATGAAATCTAGAATGAAAACAATTGAAACTGAAATATTTCGAGCATCAAACTTTAAAAATGTCAATGGAAACACTACATGTGTTTTTTCTTCATTGATGAACTGGGCACCCAAAACAATAAGATATGTGCTCCATAGTTATCATCCAGAACATTTCAAGCCTCAATGCATCGGCACACTAGTAATATTTATGTTTTATACTACATATTCTCAATTAACTAAACAACTATTTTTTGTGGGTATATTTTTCGTTTAATGCACGTACTTTTATTCTATAATGGCGCTTGTTATAACCTAGTGCAAAACATTGCTAATTTGGTTAAAGGAAATTTGTTCAAAACTTTAAAAAAATTCCTCTTTTAAGTCGAAGACTTTACGATAACTAAAGGTGATAGATTATCACTTGTTGCCTTGCGCAGGCAACTTCATGGTAAACTTTAAAGATAAAAGAGTGAATAAGTTATAAACATACGATGATGAATGCTTTTCTCATGTCACTACCTATAATCTTTGCCGCGCGTCTAAATTATGGGTGGACGTAACGTGCGAGAGGGAGAAAAAAAATACAGACTCGCTCCCATACTCATCGTAGTAGTCGTAGTACAATTGAAAGCTCTAGTAGTTTCTGTAATTATAACAATGATCAAAAGAGTAATCCAAATAGTAGTAGAGGCTTTGGTTCATGAAGGGATCATAATTTTAGCGGTGGTTACTGCTGATTTGATTTTTATATTTGTCAAGTGAAATCTTCTTTTTAACTAGGCAGATGTCGCGGTAGTAGAGCATTTGTATTGAATAGTGGTAAGGATTCTCGCGGTAAGCGTATAGTGTAGACGCCTAAGCAATTGAAGAGTTTCTGCACAAAGAGTTATTCAGCATTGATTGAAGGTGTTTTTTTCTTTTAAAGCATATGGCAATAAGGCTAAGACTTATCACAGAAATCAAGAATGTTCTGACTCGCGAAATGAAAATCGTAATGGGGGTTGCGACAACGGCGATAAGAGCCGTAGTGGTGATAGTTCAATTGGTGACGCTGGCAGTCTTGATTTTGTGATGTCTGCGAATCATTGTATTTCATCAATGCCTCTCAGATTTTGCAATCCGAGAAATCAGCATAAAGATAACGACAACAGGGACACAGAAGCTAATTTTAGTGGTTGGCAAGGTGATGCAGAAAGTAAAATAGCTAATGATAATGTTTCTGACAAGCCGAATAGAAGTGCTGCATTATAGTCAATTCAACGATCCGTGTTGATTTCAATACTGTTGGTATTGGATTTCGAGGTAAAAAAGTAATTTTTTTACATATAAAAACGAATTATTTAGTAAAGGTGGTCAAGTCGTACGTAGAAGGCGAGTCAATTCTGCTGTTCATGGTAAGACAAGATCAAATAAATATGAAACAGTTGCTTGTGTTTGTCTTGTAGATAATCATCGTAGTGATGACTGTGACAGTGGTGGAAACTATGACGATTTTAGTTTTTTCAGAGGTCGCGGTAGAGGTAAGTCTGGTGGTAGTGGTCATCGCGGTAGATTTAGAACACGCGACAGCGTCACTCCTGGTAGACTTAATTCAGGTAGTGGCGATTGTAATGTTAATTCAGTGTCATCGGCCATCGGTGACAGTTCATCAATGTCTGTCAGGTTGCATAATTCAAGAGATCAACATGGAGATGATGAAAGTGATGCAAAATCGAGTATTCGTGGTTCACAAGATGGCGCAGGAAGTAAAACAGCTAATGATAATGATTTCAACGAGTCAGCTAGAAGTACAACATGCATTAAAACAAACATCCATGGTGGCTTTAATACTAGTCGTATTAGATTTCGAGGTAAAAAATAATCTTTAGTTTTTACATAGAAAAACAAATGATTGACCAAAGGTGGTCGAGGCATGTGCGGAGGACGATTCAGTTCAGTTGCTCATGGTAAGATACGTTTATATAAATATGGAAAATTGGGTTGCCTTTGTCTTGTAGATAATCGTGGTCGTGATGGCGGCGGCAACAGTAAGTATTGATTTTATTTAAACAATATACTCAATTTTATCCAGTTTTTTGCTTAGATTGTTACAGCTAGTATGTTTTTGTTTATCAGTTTTGCGCTCACATTTGTTCAACTACTTGTTTGCTTTTTTCAACAGTAATAAACCTGGTCATCGATCTCGTGATTTTTCTGAAGAAAGGAAATCTTGTAGTTTAACTATTTTTTTAAACTGTAATTCTTTATTCTTGTATAATATCCTTTAGATAGCGGTGTTGATGGTTTCAATAGTTCTAGCGGTCGAAGAAATACTAATCGAGTAAGTTAATATTTATTCTGAAAAGAAAAAAAAATACAATAATTCATTCAGATATCTGATGATATTTTCGATCAACGTAAGCATATTTATATAAGATCAAACATTAGTTCTAATAATCTTTAATAGCTGGTGGTCGTGCGTGTGGTCAACTTAGTAAACGTTATGTTCCACCACTTCCACCAACAATTGAAGATGGTATACTTGGTGAAGCAGTTACTAAGGACGCAAATTTTGGAAAATATCATCAAACACACGTTCAGTGTTCACCCCTTAGTAACTAAATATTTTTTTTAATATATAATTTGTTTTTTCGTAAGACAAAGTAAAACCAATCAAATTATATGAAGAAGCTAATCGTGGTACACAAGTTTTATCAAATATTCGTCGTGCTCATTTTGAAGAACTAACAGCTATTCAACTTTATACAATACCTTGTATACGACAGCAAAATGATATAATGGCTTGTGCTCAAACTGGATCTGGTAAAACAGTAAGTTTCGTTTTACTTTTAATATTAATTATCAATTAAATAATTATTTAGGCTGCTTTTCTCTTACCAATCATTTCAAATTTGCTTGAATATCATGCTGATAAGTTATCTGAAAAACTTCATCCATCATCACCACTTTGTCTTATTGTTTCACCTACACGTGAACTTGCTCTACAAACAGAACGTGAAGCAAGAAAATTTGCATATCAAACCGCTGTTATACCTTGTATGTTATGAGAAAAAAAAACTAAACATATTAAAAAAAATTGTTTTTCTATCAAAAGGCTCTGCTGTTGGTGGTCATGATATGTATGCTGTATCAGATCGTCTCCGAGAAGGTTGTCATATTCTATCAGCTATTACCGGTCGTCTCAAAGATATGGTTGAAAAAGGCCGAGTAAAATTTAACATAATTCTTAATATTCAAACATTAAAAAGAACAACTTTTTTTTCAAGGTCTCATTGAGAAAAGTTAAATATTTCGTTCTTGATGAAGCCGATCGGTATGTAAATAGAAAACTATTGAATTGAATTAAAGGAGAAACAGCAGAAACTTCATTCTTGAAGCTGCTGTTTCTTTCTCGAATCTAATCTGTCTCTTGTTTTTCTTAAAGAATGTTAGACACAGGTTTTGAACCTGATATACGTAAATTAGAAGATCTTGGTTTACCACTAAAAGATGAACGTTTTACATCCATGTTTTCTGCAACATTTTCTAATGAAGTACAACAATTAGCTCAACATTTTCTACGTGAAAATTATGTATTTCTTGCTGTTGGTATACCTGTTGGTGCTAATGAAGATATAGCACAAACAATTGAAGAAGTACCACATTCAAGAAAAAAGGATCGTCTTTTTCAACTACTCGAAGAAAATATCGGTCGGAAAAACGAAAAGAAAATTATCAACAAAGTTTATTTATTTTTCATGTAGAATTTGAACGTTGTTTAATATTCGTTGAAACAAAACGATCAGCTGATTATATAGGTGCATTACTTTCACAAAGACAATTCATGACTACAACAATGCATAGTGATCGAACACAACGACAACGAAGTAAAGCTATAGAACAATTTACAAGTAGAAAATGTTCAATACTCGTTGCAACAACAGTTGCTGCTTGTGGTTTAGATTTTCCATTAATTGGTAATGTTGTTAATTATGATTTACCAGATACAAATGACTTTCATATTCATCGTATTGGTCGAACAGGTGAAATTAGTGCAAAACCTTTTGAACAGAAAAAATTTTCATAAGTTTTGTTTTTTCTATAGGTCGTGCTGGTCATTTGGGTAAACAATATAATTTTTTGATCCAGATCGAGATTCTGATAGAAAAATCGCTCCTGAACTTGTATTAAAATTAAACGAAGTACGTTATTTCTAAATTGAAGATTTATTTTAAATGCCTTTATTTCATTAGGCTGGTCAAACAGTACCTGAATTTCTTAGAAAATATGTTGATGATGCCAATGTTGGATTTTATAATGATGGTCAAGGTTCACGAAATACTGATGTAAGATTGATTTTATTGTACTTAGTAAATTTTTCATTCTCTTTTTTTTTAGATGAGATCTGAATGTAATAATTTTGGTAGCCGAAATCAAGCAAGTGGTCCTACTGGTGGTACAACTTCTGCTGCTGCAACTAATGAAACTTGTGATTAAGAAAAACACATGCCTTTTTTTGGTTCCTATATGAACAAAGTATGAAATTCTTTTATTCTGATTTGCAACACATTCCGAACATGTTCGTTAAGTCAAAACGAAGAAATTTTTTTAAAGTTCAATTCTCGCGTTCAAAAAGAATAGTTTATTGAATTGTTTGTACGTTTATTTTTTCTTTCTTTCTTTTCTTTTTGTACACTTACAAGAAAGGCGTGTAGTTTCACTATCACTCATTCTTAATACATTGTTAAAAAGAAAACAAAAAGTTTCAGCGTTTTTTCTCTTATCGGTGTTTTTCAATGTATAATCGTATTCTTCAATTTTGTTTTTTTTTTTGTTTTATTAATGATGAGAATGCGTGCGTGTGACGTGACATGAAAAACATGACATTACAATATTTTTCAACTTACTTTTTTTCACTTTTTATTTTTCAAAATAAAATGTGCAGAAACATTGAAAGTAAAGTCAATAACAAGTTGTGAAATACAGATCAATCTTATATACGTATATATGATTATTAAATAATTCTTTGTAGTTTCCTATGCGGGCAAGGCTGAGTGACTACGTTGAATGGCATATATCTAGAAGGTACTATGTGTAAAGCTCAATATCAGCCGTCATTAAATGATATTGGACAAGTCAATAACCGATATTTGTCTCAATTTATTCGCTCAATAGTGTGCTAACTACTTGGAGGCATACAATTACTTTTGTAGCTATTATGTGGTTAGTCAGCGTTGACGAAGAAATCAAGTAATTGGGCACAAAAACTCTGGGTCATACTGGCCTTGTGTCCACAGCTACAACTAGTCATCGTTGTAGGGAAGGTATTAGATTATTGAATCTGCTGCTAGACAGAACTTCATACTCAACGTAGCTCAAAGAAATGGGCACTCTTCCTTTCACCTTGTAGTTTTCTCGATATGATTTCAATACCAGAATTGGTGATCAATTCATATCAGAAAAGTGAACGAAATGGCAATGGAGAATGTTTGAAAAAAGAACAAAAAGTGTTTGCTTCACATGAAGATTAGCCATTCTGTAATTCGACAATTGAACTGTTGTATAAGATGATACTAATTGTATTCTAATCGATATCTTTCCTATAATTCACAGTGCGTCATCAAACAAGTTCAAATTATGTTGTTCTTTAATATCAAGGTTTGCCCTTTGAGTGCGGCATGCAAAAAAAAACATAAAGCGAAGCAAGTAAGTATTATTAATTGCTGTTGTCATTGTTTTCTTGATTGGTGAAGTGAAATATCTTAGTGAATATCGAAAAGAACCAACTTATAGAGAGTATATGCAAAACACGCCACATCATATTGGACTGCTTTAGTACCGAATGGAGAGTGAAAAATCGTCAATCAAAACCACCATCGAAAGTGAAACAAAATATCGATATCAATCTCTAAATAAAGCATTACCAGAAACAGCTGCATGTTAGGTAAACACCAGTATTAGTGATGCAAGTTTGCTTTTGGTCTATTATTCGAATGGAATGACTTGATAACTTGCAGTAGAACATTCAGATTTCAGTATCGTTCATTTTGATCTAACTTTAAAATAAGAAAAGAAACATGAGATATGCTTCAACCATTTCCACTTAGATAGCAAGTTCGTCTAAACAAAAGCAACTGTGGTATTTGAATGAGTATCATTCCGATTTAGCTTCTGAACCATACCAATCAATCATTTTTCATTTAGGGTGGGGTGTGGGTTGGTGTGGGTGTAGCTGTCGGTATGGGTGTGGGTATGACTTATGACAGCAATAACACCCACACCCACACCCGTTATTCATGAACTTATGCCTGTAAAGTTTGTTGTAATGAAATATTTATTTAGAGTATGAGAACATTGATTCTATTTCAATGTGATCGGTTAAAATATTTCGTTCTTTAATTCAATAGAAATAATCATTATTCAATATGCGAGAAAAACTAAGTTTACATATAAAAACCGTTTAATTATCAAAGCAAATCCTATGATTTTTGAATAGTGTTTTGGAATAGAGCTAAAAGAGAAAATTTTCCATTAGCAATTTTGCTGTTCAAGTGAACTATTTTGATCAATAGTACCCATAAAATGTTCTAAACATAATTTGATAATTTACGTTGTATATCTTTAAATATTATTAATCAAATCAAATTTTATTTAAAATATTTCGTATGATAATATT